CAGCTTCAGTCTTTCGGAATTGCGCATGCAAATCATACTGCGAATCTTCGATCGGCGAATGCAAGATTGGAGGAAAGCAATCCCGGATGATGTAATGACGTTGAATCTCCAGCTGGAGTACTACGCGGACATGCTATCTATGTGGGAGTTCGGGATGGACGGAGGTCGCTACGACGGTAAGTTGACTTTGATAGATTGCATATAGCTTAGCTAACGTCGTTCAGTCATCGAGTTTCGCAATCGCCACATCACTTTGCCCGCACTAGATGACGACTGTGTACAACCCGAGTCCCTCCTCTCGCGCTCAGCATTACAGATCAACGCGACGACGAAATGCATAAGCGCAGCACACACCATATTAGACTTCTTCATTGCCGTTCCTGTCGACAAACTACGGAAATCACCCAACGCCCTCTTTGTCCGTGCTGTCTACTCTCTGGTGACTCTGATGAAAGCCGAATACGCAGTCGGGACAGATGCCGAGATGGGCGAACTTCTCGAAAGTCAGAGTCTAAAAGTGAGCTTTTACCTTGACACTGTATTAGAAAAGACGAACGAGGCCGGGGGGCCGCCGGAGTGTAGGGTCAGGGTTCCGAGCCATTGGAACTTTTTGCTCCACGAGAAACTGAAGAGTTGGTGGGATGAGTACCAGGAATGGAGGAAAGAGGGGAGACATTTGAAGAGGAGAAAGACGGGCAATGGTGATGATAGCAATACTGCCACGGGGAATCAGACGCCGACGTTTGCGGAACCGACCTCGCAAGTTGCGACTTCCGCTATAGATCCGTCACAGGTTGCTGCACAACACCAAGCACACCAAATACCCATGTCAAATTTTCCTTTGGGCAACGCTTATCCCACGCCGGCACCATGGACTGCGAACGAACTAGGCCTTGATGCAAGCACACAGGCTCAGCCCATGAACGATCAAACAACCTTCTCAACCGACATGGGCGACTTCTCAGCGGCGTTTCAGAATGGAGATTTGTATTTGTGGAATGACATGACGGCAGACAATTTTGGCGGTTGGGTTCCGCAGGGTGGATCCTATGGTCATGCGGGGTTTGGAGGAATGAACAGTGGGTTTTGACTTTGCAAAGACGAGTCCATCTCATGTTGAAGAATAGCATAAACATCGAGAATTTTACTGCGAATGCTACCAAACTTGTGGATGCTTGTGGGAAAGCATCATCCATCATATACATAAATCCATTATCTACATTTTCTTCAACCCACCCTCTACCCACTCGACTACCTTTTCGAGCAACCCAACATCAGCCTTGGCCTGTTCCAGCGCCTCTTCTCCTTCAACTACAAGTGCACCGCCGCCCGATGTCAACTCTTTCTGGAACCGCGCAGCTGTTTGCTTTAGCACATCCAAATAGCGTGACTGGATGCTGTGACTATTGTTTAGTTCTTTGATACCAAGAGTGTCATGCAAGTGTTTCGCTTGCAACAGAAGGTAGTACAAGTTGAGCGCTGCGACATAGAAACCGAGTTCCTGACGGAATTGCATCCATGAGTCTTCTAGACTAGTGTCACCGGCATATTGTTTTGTAAGGTCCGGCCATAAGAACGGCGCGACGGTAGATAGCGCGACAGGTGTGGCGAAAATATTCGTCTCTTCGTGGTCATCATCTGCTGACTCTGCACGTGGGGCGTTGGCTTCGAGAGTCTCGCCCTTCAACCATGACACCGCGCTTGCTTTGAGATTCTCGTACGGACAGTGTTCTAATGTGTCGCGGATGAACGTTAGGCGAACCAGATCATGGGGATGGGAGCGCAGCACAGTAGTGGTGAGGTAGTGTGCATGGCCACGTAAGCTGGGCGACGGCGAGTTTGCAGAGATGAGCGATATCGTCTGTAGGTACTGGGCAAATGACTCGTCATCTTTTGGCTCGCCAATGTTGTTATGCTGGAGTGCTATGAGGCCAAACGTAAGAACTGTATCAAGTAGTGCCTCAGGTTCCATGCCGACAGTTTGCTGACCAAGAGTGCCGATAAAGTTACCAAGGATGGTGGCGTGTCCGGGGAAGATGTCAATAGATAAAGACTGATTTTGTGTGGCTGGTGCATATAATTCTTGTTTGACGCTTTGCGCGGCAACAAGAATCAAGGCTCCTGTTCGTGAAAGGGGTATATCAGCGGCTGCGGCTGGCGGCTCGTCTTCTGTCCCTGGAATGCCTCTTTTCTCGTCCTCTGTGTCCATCACAGTCCGCAGCAGCTCCTCGTACTTCAATCCAAGATCCTGGCTCAAGGCTACAATTTGCCCAAGAATTGCAACTCTGGAGGTCAGATCCTCATCATCTGCAAATCGATCTGCGTATTTTTGGTAGTTGGGCTTATTAGGTATCCGCTGGGGTTCGTACCGCTCCATCAGCCTGCTTGCCCATGCCAGACCTGGAACATCGTCGTCCGATGTCAACGACAAAACATACTCCTCTAGGATGTGCGTAAGGAACGACTGAAGTAGGCGATTAACAAGGTCATTCTCCTCGTTGGTTGGCGCGTCGCTCTGCGCCTCCGGATCTGGCTCCGATTGATTGGTGTTCACACGTAGCAGGTTCCCGCTGCTCCGTCTTGAGGGCAGATGCGGCCGCTTAGTGCCGGAAAGTGTCTTGACGAATTTGACAGCGGATAGGGTAAGGTCTTCAATATGTGTGTTTGCCCTGTTGTATGCGAGCAGCGCGGCCTGGAGGCTAGTTGAGAGGAATCGGCTTGGATACTTCGTCTTGACCCTCCGATGTAATGTTGCTAGTATAGTCAAGAGGACCTCAAACTTCAGTACTGGGAGCGGTGGCACTACGGCTGGTTGGAAGGCTGGACTTGTGCTCGACTCGCCCATTCCGACCTCTGCCGCTTTTGTGCGTTCGCTCGCTTCTGCATCGTCCTCTTCTCCATCCGTGTGGTCGTGTGGCTCTTCGAATTCCAGGAGGCGCAGTGCTTCTGTCACCTTCAAGACACACTCTCTAGGATTGCCCTTTGCGGCGATATCTTGCAAACAGTCTTCCGAGAGCGGCAACAACGGCAGAAGTAAATGGATCAGATCCCAACCGATAGTCGCAGTGAGTTCGGCATCTTGAAGAACTTCATGCAGAACAGGCAGATTCTCCTCTGTCAGGTTGTATTCAATAATAGTAAGGTAGGTGATGGGATCGGTGACTGGCGGGCGTGAGGCCAGAAGTGGATGTTCGTCCTTCTGGACGGGAACTTGGCTTTCGGCCATGACTCGTGGTTTTGGTAGTACGTTCGAGCCGTGTGTGTTACCTGCCCGGTAAAGTTGAAACGAACGGATTAGTATTGATGGTTGAGCGGCGGAAACTGTGGTGTTGAGGACAACCCAGAAATGTTGGATGGGGCTGGGCCCTGACGCAATGCCTACCAGCCCACCACTAGATTCGCGTGCACGCTAGTCCCCGCTTCCGCCAAGACGATCGCTCTTGCCAAAGTTCACTGCGGAGGCGCTCGTAGCTTCGACACCACGAATCGCTTCCACGACACGCTGCCCGCCATGGACGAAAAAGAAGAGACCAACGAGCCCCTCGACCTTGTGCGCCTCTGCATTGACGAAGTTGTCATTGTAAAACTGCGCGGCGACCGCGAGCTAAAGGGCAGACTACATGTAAGTCGCAAAGCTGTAGCTCGTATACCTAGACGGCCAAGCTGACACGGTGTTCAGGCATACGACTCGCATTGCAACCTCGTTCTCGGAGACGTAGAAGAAACCATATATATTGCAGAGGAAGAGGATGATGAGCAGGAGCCCCGCGTACGGACGGTCAAGAAGCAGAGCGAGATGCTGTTCGTAAGAGGTAGGAGATGTACACGGCGTCTGCAATTGGATCGAGGCTGACGGCAGACCAGGTGACTCAGTAGTCTTGATCGCACCAGCGGAAGGAGCATCGCAATGATCAGTATACCACAGTTTCTCGAACAAACAGAATTCGGCATAAGCAAGGGCGCAATTGGCTGGTTGGGGGTTGGAAAAGCGACAGCGGGATAAGAATGATGCAGTCACGTTTGAGATACCCGAATGCTGAGTTGTAGGGCGCACTCGCTGGCGCAGACTCAATGATGGAGGATAGTAGGATGTGTATGTGGAGCTATCAAGACATTCAGCGCAGGCTTAGACATATCCTCCGAAGCTCTCTCAAGCCCAGCTAAGGAGGTGCCCGCCAAACAAATACAATCATCAAGATTGACGATTGATCACAAGCCCTAAGCCTCATATCTCTTCACCGTAGGGTCTCACACTCATCATTTAAATAGGCACTGTTTGAAGCTGCAAGTATTAAACGCTTTTCTTGACTCTACAGGAAAGTTCAAACTAAGAACCTCATTGTGCCAGGCAAAACGCAAATAGAAAAACCCATACGCACATAGTGCGATGCCCATGTAAACTCCTGTACGTCGAAGGTTGACCGCTGAGACCCGGCCAAAGAGGAGCGACAAAAACGGAAAGGGAAAAAGAACCGCCACCATAAGCGTGATACCGCGGGAGTGAGAGAATTAAACTAATATGAGCGGGTCATGACCTCGTTTCATCGTGATGGGGATCCGGAAACGCTTTCCAATGGAAGTAAATACAGTCGAAGGGAAGTTTACCAACTGCATGAGAACAGTGCCGAGAGTAGAGGACCAGTGACGGGAAAGAGCATTGACGGAGAATGAAAAGACCTAGGCCGGATAACCGTAAACTCCATGCGCCGGGTGTCCGAACGAAGGTTGGACTAATGTAGACTGGGAAGATTGCTGATGTTGACCCTGTTCCAAGAAGCCGCCAAAGCGCCGTGTATCCGTGAACAATAAGCAAGAATGGAGAAGATTTCGATGGTGACCATGCTGATGCTGATGGTGAGTCGCGGCAAACCGGTTGACTTGTACTGCCGGACTCTTGACTGGTGGGTGCTGGTGAGTGACCTCTGGGAGTTGCGCTGTCGCACGAACCCTGAGCCACGTTAGAACACAGTCAAGTCAGAGCCATATGGAGACAAGTGTATTCACTTTCGCCTCCATGTTTGGCTCGCCAGGCTGTCCCTAGACACAAAGGGCAGAGAGAAGCCCTTTGAGACCTCCGCCTCTACGAAGATGGAAGCACGCTTATAGCGCTTGTCAGTGTACTTCTCGTACACAGCAGCGTGGTGCTTCTGGGGATTGTCGCAGCACTCAAGGATTACCGTTATGAGTTGGCGAAGTTGGGTCAATGTGTATCCAGAATAATGTACGTGTGCTTGCGACTAGGAGAATATTAGCATGGCTTGGTGACGTGTACAGACGATATGAACTTACCCAGTCACCCTTCTTCAGCATGAAGCGAGCGAGACAGTGAGCACCAGCGGACAGAAAGCTGGGAGCGCAACCGACAAAGCGCTCATCCATAACGGTGATCTCCAAAAAGTACTTTGATAGAGTACGAGTCTCCAGGTCGTAGTCATCTGCCTTGCTGATGCGGCGGAGAAAGCTCATTGGGCCGGGCCAACCCAGTTCAAACTGAAGCATGCTAAGCATGAAGCGCTCAGCTTTCAGAACCTCGTCGGCAGTGTAAGCACCGTCGACCATGTATACGATCTCCTGCACTGAAGGACAGTTGATCTCCTCGTATTTGGCAGCGACGAAGAGAGCAGTGGCGCCGACCAGCTGCAGCTTGCCGAGTGAGACCACCTTACATGAGAGGAAACGGTCGACATAGTTGACAGCGAGGAAAAGTGTTTCCGGAAGAAGGGTGAAGCGGTTGTGGACCTGGACAAGCCAGTCCATCAATACTGATCGCATCGACCATTGTATCTCGGCCTGGTGATCCATATAAGAAGCGTTTGGCTTCATGCGCTCCTCAAGAGAGTGCATGTATTCAAAGATCTCATCACCGTACTCAGCGACCATGGAGGTGTCCCACTGCTCGTCTTCCACATCTTCGTCACTCCGATTTGCCTCGACGAATATCTTAGCAGCCTCTAGCTCGCGTTTTGTCTTTGCAGTGATCCTAGGCGCAAGGACCAGGGTAACACCACCAGTCGTGTTGTCGCCACGCGATCGAAGAGAACGAGCAGTAGTGTAGCCGTCGGCATCATAGTACTCCTCATCTTCCTCCTCGTCCCAGTACTCTTCTTGGTCGAGGTCGTTGACCTTGGCAAGCTCTTCGTTGCGTTCTTGTTCCAGGACGCGCGCCTGCTCCTCTAACGCATCCAGGTATTCGTACCTGTCGTCCGCCCCATTTTTTGACTCGGTCTTCTCTTCCTCTTCAGGGATGGTCGCTGCCTGCTGGGACTGTGCTGGGGCACGGTCCACGTTGGGAAATGAAGATGGCTGGGTAAGGAGAGGTTGGCGAGCAGGTACATTTACAAGAGTTGTGTCGCTAAGGGGTTCTGGCTGCGGCTCCTTGAAAACAGCTGTGGAGGACTTCTTGGACAGGGCTTTGCGGGCGTCGGCCGTCGGTTGGTTGGCGTTGACATGCTTGGGAACAGCAGACGCGACTTCACTTGTCTCCATTGACGCGTTGGTCTTTGTTGTGACGTTTGCTAGAGGGCGTTGCGCCGGTCGTGCTAATGCACCAGGCTTCGTGATTTCCTTGACTGTGACGGCAGAGGTTTCCTTGAGCACCTCGAGGCCCTTCTTCTTTCCGGTGACCTGCATGTCATCCTTTGCTACAGGCTGCCGTGTAGTATTGCTGACATCGCCAAACACGGTCCGCTTGGCTGCGACCGCCTTGATGCCTCCGACCTGCATCAGTGTAGATAGTGCTGGTGTTGACTTTCCGCGCGAGTGCAGAGCCTTTCCAGCTGGTAATTGGGGTAGCGCGTTCTCGTCGCGTACACGGAGAGCCCTCGCAGGGCGTTGTGGCTGTAGAGAAATCTGTCAGCGGATGTCGAGGGAAGACAGTCTGGGTGACCCCGGATATGCACGAAGATGAAGTGGCATCGCCGACCTCGCAACGCGTCAGGCAGGGTTGCGCGCCTAATCAAAGGCAAGCAGAGAGGGAAAGAGCTTACCTTTGCGTCCATTATGTTCTCAATGTGTCGGTTATGACAATAGTCTCGGAATGTATGTTTTGATGACAGTGACGGTTGCGAAGTGGACGATAGGGGCAGCGGAAGTCGAGCGCTACAAAACAGTGGTCGATATAAAGAAACTCTCCATCTAAGTTGGCGGCGATGAGATAGGCGGGTCGACGATGTCGGATGGCACGAGGAGTGGTGTTGACGACAACAAGAGCTTGTAAACTTATATGGGAGCTTGGAGCTTCTGCGCGTTCAGATCCAATGTTTATTTACTGTAGCTCTGGGACAGGGATATTGGCCGCTAACCCGACATGCCTAGTGATGGTGCACGGTTCGCTCTTTCCCGAAGACGCTTCCGGGGCTCACGTCATAGCCGAAACGCGTATCCCAAATCCCATCACAAAGACGACCTTGCAATGCGCCCACGTACTTGTTAGAGATGATGCATCAAGAACTGGTCGAAAGTATCAATACTTATTTTGGAGGATTTTGCAGCAATTTCAGCCATTTTGAACACCTGAATCGATAGATACATGTACCCCGCCAAAGCCTTGGGTTCGACGCGTCAATTTGAAGATGAGTCAGCCACACCACGCGAGCTCACGTGGCGATATCCCGACAGCGAGTTGTTCTAAACATCTTGTTTACCTGTTCTATTGCCATAACAACATATAGAGTCATCCTCCAATTGCTTTGGATGGCCTCAAATGTGGTCGCGATCACAAAGGTGGCCTGGAACTCGCAGACACGATCCGCTGTCGGGCGCCCACAGCCTGTCGATCAGTGCACTGCCGCCAGATATCAAACGGCAGCCTACGCTTGTCTTTGTTGCGCTGCCGTTGTCCCAGGCAGTATGGAGAGATGTACTGTGTCTGGGGAACGTTGGATGCCCTGAAACCGGCGCTGTTATCGCGTCTTTCCTTTGCTTTGTCCCCGCGGCGCTGTATAGGCCGAGAGCCTCACCGACTAACTGTGTGGACCGATGACATCCGTAGCGAGATCGCATGGAGCCAAAAATGCGCACAACGTCTTTCGAAAAGGTCCGCGACCAGGATCCCTACTGAAACGTCTTTGCGCAAAGTGCGGGAGACATACAGTTCTTGATCGACCCCTCATCAGTTAAAGTGGTTGTCCGAGCGTTAAGCCACGGATTCGCGAAGTCGCATGCCGCGCTACGTATGTACCTTTGCCATGATCGCTGGTGCACATGCAGGGTCGGAATTTTGGAAGCAAGATAACAGACGGCCATAATCCGGTCGAAACATGGCTTCCACACCAGAGCGGGTGTGTAGACTATCCGCGGACTGATTTCTGGGCTTCGCGCTACCATCGTCATGATAGTGTGGGTCCGAGATCATCAGACGATTGCGGGAGCACATGTAGACATAATTCCTTGGTCGCGTAATTCATAAGTAGCACGAGCCTCTAGGAAATCTTGTGGCGATTCATTCAGGGACGGTTGTCTGCAAAGGGGAACTACGGAAGCAGATGTGTGGCATTGATTGTCGCACGGAGATCTCTCCAATAGACGCCCGGCACCACTTGCCAACGAATCCACAGCGCTTCACCCACTTTCGGGACCGGAAGCTTCCTTAGCATTCTGACTAGAATTGTGTGTGAAGGCGACCCGGAATGCGGTATTCGAGGACCCTTACGTGCTCGAGAAGGGTAGACGGGGTATCAGGGTGCTAAAGCTCGTCCTGTTCCTGTTCACATGGAGGGTACGCATGGTCTCGACGACAAGCAGCGTACCCGCCCATTGGCCATGTCTGACGTTGTTGAGATCGGCTCTCTTGCGCATGTGTAGTCGACAAGCGATTGAGTTGTCCTGTGGCATGCATTCTAGTCTGATTCAACCATTGGGCGCATGGCTGCCGCCGAGTTGTCCCATGTTTCGACTTCGCAGACAAGCACACAAGATGGGATGAAGACTAGGGCATCTCCCAGCTGCAGTACCGTTGCAGCCCTTTTGCGTGAGTGAGGGTGGGCTGTTCTTTGCGGTAGTGTATATGCTAGCTACCAATGGAGGCGCAATCGCATATATGCAGCAGGGAGGATGCGCTGTACTGTTTAGACGCACTCGACGATACAAATTTGATCCCAAGAGACTGTGAATGCAAAGGCGACCGCCATTTCGTGGTTCGAAGCGCATCTGGAAAGTGCGTCGTGACCTTGCGTGGTCCTAGTCGGTGTCTCTGTAGTTCGCTTGCGACATCTCTCATCTGCAACCCACCCTCCACACCATTCTCCTCAGTCCCACACCACCTCCTCCTTGTAAGCCTCCAACCTTCCCATCAAGCTCCCGATCCCTCTGAGATCGCACTCTGGCGCTCAGATAGAGCCAATCCTGCTCTGCGCATTCGGGTCGCTAACCTGCCATCCGCAGCCAGCGGCGGTAGACTCACGGAACCGGATCGAAGCATCTACTGCCCATCTGGCTTTGTAGACATCACTGTTGGTATGTACATATCTCCATAGGCGCTTGCGACCGAGTTGGGCTCTACACTTGGTTGCGACGCCGCCCCTGGGTCTTCCGCGCTGTCGTCACATCCTCCCTGTAGTCCGCAAAGGGCCAGCGGTGACGAGTCGTCCAACCGCCTCCAGCCCAGCACAGGTGCCGTGGAACAGGACAAGGAGCACCCGACATGCCATCGAGCCTCATCAGCGACCATCTGCTAACATGTCGCCTTCCAGACTCGACGCCCGTTTATCCTTCCCCGACCGCCTCTCGTCCCAAGCCCTTGCGACACCGGCAGCATCGGTGCGCCCCTCAGCCACCTACACATCCAGAAGCTCGTTTTAGGGGCTTTGGAACACACTCTCAGCATCCGAGACATTGGTATGCAAGTTTCCAATATGCTTGCGGAACCGCGGGTTGCTGGCGCACAGCGCTGCCCTGAGGTGGAAGAGCTCCTAGCGGGCCGACACCACGACACCATGCATCCCGTGTCTGGCTACGACATGATGCCCCAGAGGGAAGACTCTGGCATCATGGACGTCTACCCAAGCACCGAGACGGGCTCTGCGCATGAGGCCATGTCACCCTCCAAGCAGACGCCCAAGAAGCACGTCAGCTTCGAGCTGCTGCTCCCCCAGTCTCCAGCCCACAAGGCCCGACTACCCATGCGAGTAGACATATACCCTCACGATACAACAGACTCCATCATCACCACAGTTAAGAACTTCTATGGTCTGTATGAGCGTCGAGGCGTCATCTTTGAGGACCGTCACGGCAACACGCTGATTGCGCGCTTCGAGAACTTCGAACACGGCATGACCATCTACGTCCGAGTCTCACCAGAGACTCTCGATGCTGATGAATACTCTCCCGACCCCCACCAGCAGACCATCTCGCCTCGTCGCGCGCGACCCCACCTCGACGAAGCCTTCCAAATGCTCCCACCCATCCAGCACCACCAGGGCTCGAGAGCGGGGTCCCGCCATGCACGCCAGAGCCACTCCCCACACCCAGGACGTGGGAGGAGGAGCGCTTCAGTCAGCAAGCGCATGCGACCGTCCATAAAGAGTCGCGGCAACAGTTCGCATGGGAGCTTCGCTGACGCCAATGGCGACGGCTACAGTGACAGCGACGAGGAGCATGGCTCTGTCAGCAGCTCGCGACGCTCGAGGAAAGAGCCACTGGCGAGCGCTGAGATCAGCGTTGATAACATTGTTGAAGGTGGCCGCCGCAAGCGTGCAAAATTCGACAGCTCGGTAAGTACCTACAGTGGGCATGTATCGTGCATTAGTCTGACACTCGTTCCTTCCATAGGAGCTGCCTCTGTTCGTACCGCCTCAAGTCCCCATGACTGCTTCACAGTCGTCCGTATCCCCTCAGCGACGTATCAGCGGAAACACTGCTGGCTCGCCATACTCTGTCAATCAGCAGACATTCTCATACTCGCATCCGCTGCCCTCACCGCAGAGTTATGGTCAGGGTGACAGTTCATACCTTCAAGGACTGGTCACACCCTACTCTACATCGAGCAATCAAGCTCAGGGGTACAAGTCTCGGGCGCGCGGCTCAGCGCAACATTCCCACTATCGCTACTCTGGCAGCGGTGGAGCGCTCCCTACCCCTGACACCACTCTTGCGAGTATCAGTGTCATCTCTGATGAGGATGTCGCCCGTCAGCTCATGCGCTTGGGTGATGCGTCCAACTTCTCCACCCATGGTCGTACTTCCACTTCCACGCTCGACGATGCCTTTAGCGGAAAAGCCGCAGCATCTTCAAGCGACGAGAGCGCTGACGGTAGCGAGGACGAGAGTGAGCTTCCTCCTCTCGCGTACAACATGGCTCGGGCAATGAACGACCACACTCGTGTTTACGATGAGGCTGAGAGTAGCGGTGAGGACTACGAAGACGACCGAGATGAGTCTTTCAAGGGTCACAGTGATGAGATGATGTCAGGAGAACACGGCCATCGTGTGCACTCTGGTATCATCAAGGCCCATTCCGTGTCAAGCAAGTCCGGCAAGCCCAGCAAGCCTCGTGCCGTCTCTAAGAGCAAGTCCAAGGTCAATGGCACTAGCAAGACTCCATTATCTCCGTCCTCTCTCCCCTCACAGTCACGCAAGGCTTCTAATGCGTCTTTGAACTTCCAGCACCAGCTTGGCGTCGACGAGGAGGATCTCTCGAGCAAGCCACGCTGCCAGCGCTGCCGCAAGAGCAAGAAGGGCTGTGACCGCCAACGACCATGCCAGCGCTGCAAAGATGCCGGTATCGGTGCCGAGGGATGCGTCAGCGAAGACGAAGGCAACGGCAGGAAGGGACGCTACGGACGTCACATGGGGGTCTCTGTTAAGAAGAACTCAATCTCGTCAGCAACGTCGATGGCGCCTCCCCCGATGCATGACTATCACATGTCGATGGAAGGTTACTCAATGAGCACGGCGCTTGACAAGAGCAAGAAGCGCAAGAGGTAGCGATTGTCACTTCGTCTACTGTTGTCTCCAACATCAACTCACTCACACTCTTCTCTGGCGTTTTGGATAGCAAGCCCTCGCATTGCATCATTGGGTGGTATCTTTAGCGGCTGCCCGTCCTCTCCTTTCAGCAAGAGTAAAAGTGTCTTTTCGCAGTCATTCTTACAGTTGCGCAGCGATGAGCGAGCAGAAGTTGAAATTGCTATGGTGTTATAGGTTAGAGATGGGCTGGACAGGGGTATGGGAGGCACGGCTGGGTAGAGGTTGGGAACGGAGTGTAGGCTGTCCATGTTGCACGCTTTGGCGACTCCATATGTTCTACTTCTAGCTTGTTTGATACAGTAGCGAATTTAGTGCGAGACATTCAATGATAAAAATTCAAAGACATGTCGTTGATGCTACTTATGTCATCTGCATGTACATGTACGGCACGAACCTTTGCACGGGTGAGGATTGGGTAACGGGTGCACAGCATTGCATGTGGTGCAGTCGGAGACGTCATGCCCAGTGTGAGTACATGCCAATCCGTGGACGACAGATGACAGTCCCGACGACCAAGGTACACTGATGTCATGCCATAGTGTGAGAGTGCCACGAGCCGTCTACCACTGGATCGGACCGGACTATTTTGAGACGAGGGCGAAAGCTTAAATCGGCAGGAACGGGTTTAAGTGGGGTCATGTGGCTTTACAGGGGTCAGGGCGAACCAAAAGGCAGAGGCTGTGCTCGTCTGCCTGCGATTATCCCCGGCATAAGGCGTGCCTCCGTTGGGAGGACAAGCCTTGTCTCGTCATACTTACTTCTTCTCCTCACCTCCCGCCCCCAGCGCCGTGTCTTCAGCCTCTCCATTACCCGGCAAGGAGAGGTTGCACGTCGACGGACGCCATCAATCGCTGCTCCTGTTGACTCGTCACCAGCCACAGCTGACGCTCCGACCGTCGATCACCCCACAGAACGCGACCGCGATGGCTGAAGGGTCAATCAAGTCGCGGATTGCGGCATTGAACCTCGAAGAAGTGCATACTCCTGTACCGGGAGCCAAACCGACGTATTCCTATGATGCCTCGACTGCTAAGAGGAAGCCGCCTCCGCCTCCGCCCAGCTCGCGCCCGCCCGCCTACTCGCGCCAGACAGTCAACAACCCACCAGTCCTCAGCAATGCGCCCACGTCGGCGCGACAACTCGGCAACCAGCCCATGGTAGTGCACGAATCCGAAAAACCCAAAGTCTCGCCTGCGCTACCTCCTCGCCCACCTCCGCGCAACGCCAGTACGTCTCGGCCATCACCAGCACTGCCACCGCGCAAGGCGTCCGAGCCAAGCGTGAGGAAGCGCGAGTCGTCTGAGTCGATTTCTACCATCGCTTCGGGCATATCGACACTGTCACTGGGCTCTGTCAAGACAAACGGGACAAGTCATAGCAATGGAAGTGCTGGCACACTTTACCAAGTTAGGGCTCCAGCCTACGATCCGTCAAAGCTGCCACCACTGCCAGCCAAGAAAGCACCCGAAGACCCCAAACAGAGCAAGGCGACGCTTAACGCAATGAAGAGTAAAAGAGATTATGTGCCAGCTCAGGCGCTGCCACCCAAGCTGAAGACCCCTAGTGAGTACAGACAAAGACAGTCTGCTAGAACATGGCTAACGAAAACGCAAAGATCTTCCAGCAAGACCCTCCCTCCCTCCTAGACAGTCCATCACTCGCGAGCAATCACCTCGGCCTGTGCCAGCGTTGCCACAGAGGCAATCTTCAAACGACACCTCCCGCACCAACAGAGCGATCGCACCACCGCCACCACGACGATCGGCGTTGGAGATGGGGTTCAACAATAAGGCTCCATCGCCTCCTCCTGTGCCTTCAACTCGGCCAGCAGCTGTTTCTTCTGACTCAGCACCGAATCTTGGAGCACCGCCACCCGTCCCAATGTCATCAAGACCAAACCTCAGCGCAATCATGGCTTCCAAGCCGAAACCAGGTGCAGTTGCAAGTTGCCTTGTGTGTCGGGACTTTTCAGGACCAGACAACCATGCTGCGCAGTTTCCTCGTGCTCAACTCCCCTCTTCCGATGTGGGTTGGCTTGCTCATCAACTGTGCTCTCAATTCTCCTCACCTACTGATAAAGCGCGAGCTATATTCACTTGGCTGCATCACAACGTTGACTACGATGCTCATTCGTTCTTCAACGGTACCATTTCGCCTTCTACCCCCGAAAAAACTATCGCATCAGGCCTGGCAGTATGCGAGGGGTACGCCGGTCTCTTCGCTGCTCTAGCTCTGAAAGCAGGTCTCGAGGCTATGGTATGTTCCGGTGCATCGAAAGGCTACGGCCATTCACCTCTGGAGCCTGGACAAGCTGTGCCACCCTACAAATCAACACATGCTTGGAATGCTGTCAAGATCGACAACGGAGAATGGAAGCTCATCGATTCCTGTTGGGGAGCTGGAGCGCTTGGGTGTCAGAACCGTGGTGAAGGGTACGTTTGAAAATATATTTCACTATTCGTCGATGCTGAATTAATGACTAACACCCACCAGATACATACGGTCCTTCAACCCTCGCCAATTCACCATGGACAACAACGAGTTTGGGTTAAAGCATTACCCGGGGGAGGCTTCTCACCAATTCCGTACTGATGGACGCATTATGTCATACGAAGAGTTTATGCGAGACGATCAAGGTGGACGCGTTCTTATATTCGGTGACGCCTCCAAGGAACATGGCCTTGGCGAGCGAACATTCGAACCATCACAGGCACAGATCAAAGTAAACGATCCATACGCCCCGGCGGTTGTTCGATTCCAAATGTCTTCGGTCTGTCCGCACTGGGACAATGCGCGCCATGGCAAGGGTGCGCCCTACGTTATGCTTCTGAGCGTTGCCGGTAGAGACGGGCGGAAACCGGACTACAAGACGTTCAACACGGACGGGCGCACTTGGTGGCTCGACGTACCTCGCATCGACCTCGGTGCACCGGGCCAGAAGATTTCCCTTAATGCAGTTACGGTCTTCAACGACAAGGATGCGCGTGGCATGAGCGTTGCTGCTTGGAATAACAAGACGGCGTACTCGTGCAAGTTTGGGGGCGTAGCCCAATGGGAGCTTGTTTGATGGGACACTGGAACATCGCGATTGACACGACGTAGAAGTCACTCGTGATGATGGAATTATTGTATGGATACCCTGGATTTGATGCGCTTTACTTTTGGGCGATGATGCAAGCTTCTTTAGACAAACACGCGTAATGAACAATAATTATTCATCCTTCTGTCTCCTATTCATGTGCTTCAGCAGTGCATGTGAAGAAACTCCTTTTCGATGAATTACACCTATTCCAGGTAATATACCCTGACGCTATATGCGTGGTCACGTTCTGGATAAAGCGAAAGGAAGAGGTTCATGTACAGCTCTGGGGTAGGTTTTGGTGTTTACGGTACAGTTTGGTGAAGAGCGATCTCATTTTGTGTTCAAGCACCTGCATGTGAAGATGCAGCCCTAGATCAACAGCCGTTGGCGGCTGGTCTGTGGCTGACCGCTAGCGCCTTAGCACGATCCGCGAAATAGTGCACCTGGGGTATGGGCTCCTACCTGAGTGCTCTCCACCCTCAACTCGCCTAACCTGGGGGTCGCATCTTCGCCAACATTCTTCACGATAGCCCGCGAAGTCGCCTGTGAACAATTTTTGCCTTCCGCCCGGCTTTCAGGAAATATTGCTCCCCGAGGAACTTTCGCTTCGTCCTAAGGCTTTGGAGAACCTCCCTCGCCCGCGCCCTCCACCGCCAATATGGCTTCCACTTTTGTTGGCTTATCGGTCGCGGTGACACTACAGAGCCCTCCAGGTGCTGTCGTGCTGGGTGTGGTCAGTGGTGTTGATCAACACACGGCTACTCTGACGCTTCAAGATGGTACGTTCTGGTAGGAGGCATTGTTTATTTGTGGGCATGCGCTGATGGTTACAGTCTTCTTCCCAAACTCTGGTCACCGTGTGCCTTCGTATAACGTCGAAGGACATATGATCGCCGATATCAAAGTCGCCCCCTCTGCGCCCGCTCCTCAACCTCTTCCATCGCGATCCGAGCCTCCTGCATACCCGCGATATCCCCAGAACCACGTTCAGCACCCGCCACCGCATAGCGGACAACAGATTCCGCATCTCGTCAGCCAACCGTCGTCGGGCCCGCCTACAGGCGCACCTGTCTACCAGAACGCTCGTCAAGCGCCCCGCCAAGTCGCTCCTCAGCCAACTCCAGCTGCGCCGTTCGTCGACCCCGCGATTCTTAGCATGGGGAAGCGCACCTCGACAGTTCCTTCGTTGAGCTCTGCCGTTGCTGCGCCTCCGCAGGAAGCTCCTGCCACGCCCATCAAGCCCATAGCTGCTGCAAGCGCTGCGGCTTTACCGAAAAACACGTCTCCGTTCGTGGGCCATGCAAAGAAGACAAACGTTCGAAAGCCGAGTGCAGCCACTCTAGAGGGCCCATTTTCGTCGCTGGACATCGCGGATGCTGAAGAGGCAGATAGTGAGGCGCGTACAGGACAGCTAGCTGCGCGAAGGGCAAGCATTACCAAGACCAGGACCGGCAAGCCAATGGACGATCCCAGTCCGCAGAAGAACGACGACAATGGCAAAAAGACTCGAAGAGGAGGCAAGTCTCGTAAGAAGGAGCTTGCTGCTCAAGAGAAGAAGAATGGCGACGTCGAGACTGTCAAGAAAGGGTATGTGATATTCAGATTCAGAGGCCACTAGTCCCATGTACAGAAACTAACTTCTACTAGCAAAGGCAATGGTTGGAGGAACACTCCAATGCTACAAGCCGCCGAACAGCCACAGACAAGAACTCCCGGGGTTATAGGCGGCAGAGTCGGTCTTGCAGCGGCAAACGCTTCGAATCGTAAGACAAAACGGCAGCAGGCGCTCGAAGCCACAAACGGTTGGGCTACAGAAGACGCGACAGATATCCAGGACATGCCCGAGTTCGACTTTCAGAGCAACCTCTCGAAATTTGACAAGCGCACGGTGTTCAATCAAATCAGGAACGAGGACACAACCGCAGATGAGGATCGTCTGGTCAGCTTTAATCGCCTGGCAAGGCCTGGAACACACGGTGGAAAGAACCTGCATCCTACAGAGAATGTGCTAGATCGGAAGCTGAAAAGTACCACAAACACAAGCTCTGAGGAAGAGGAAGATGAGTTCGGCAGCGGGCGCAACTCTAGACGTGCAATGTCCAGAGCCTCAGTCAAAAGGGCGCCAACACGGCAAGGCAGCGGTGTCCAGGCTGACTTGGATATGATGGGCTCAGGTGTATTGCCGCGCACCAACCGTTCGTTCGTCTTGAATCGACCTTATGCATCCTCACACGCTACCGGTAGCCCCAGGCCGGGTCGCGTTGCTTCACCACCAGAGTCACCTCTTGACTCGAGCGCGAAGGGCTGCTTACGTCTCACATCAAACAACCGCAAGTGCTTCGCTATCACTCCTGGTGCCATGCTGGCGGTCGAGGAGACTGCTGAAGTGGAGTTTGGTCTAAACGAGGATATCATGGCAGAGAGTTCAGGTCGAGGCATCGCAGAAGTTGCTTTGACCGCGATAAATCCAGGCGGCAGACGTCTCGCACGCGACAATCCCAATGCCAACCCTGTCATTGTCGTCTTAGCTGGCAATCACCGTGGAGGTGCACGCGCCGTAGCAGCAGCACGGCACCTTGCTCAACGTGGACCGAAAGTCATGGTTGCACTACTTGGTTTCGAACGCAATGCAGACTGGGACAAGGATATCCGACGACAGGTCGAACTTTTCCGGAAGTTTGGCGGCTCCGTTCGTGCATGGAGAGATACGGAAGAAGCTCTGAAGCGTCTACAAGCACCACCCGAGCTCATCATAGACGCCCTGCTTGGCCGTCACAAGGAGTTTGAGGCGCTTGGCGATGAAGATCAACGAGTGGTCCTCAACATTGTAGGTTGGGCAAACAAGTCAAGAGCAGCCTGTCTCGCTGTCGAAACGCCGTCGGGTGTGGGCGGCTCTACGGGTGAAGTCTCTATCTTAGAAGGCGAGCCACTGGAAGTTCGCGCAAAGTACATCGTATGTCTCGGTGCACCACGAACAGGTCTTGTAAAAGCGCTCCAGAACGGTGCTGGACGCGATCCACAGTGGCTTATCTGGATCGTCGATATTGGTGTCAACAGACCCTGGCGCAATGCTGGCATCAGCGGTGGCAAAGGCATAAAGTTCGGCGAGCAATGGGTCGTACAGGCGCAGTTCGAGGAACCAGCTACAGTGGACGGCGCACGGGCTTAGGATGCCTTTATGTCAGAAGCTAAAGAGGACTCGGGAGAAGATTACATCGTCAAGCGTTTGCGCCAGCGGCGCCAGCGAGGTGCAGTACAGAGGAGCTCGGTTTTGCCGAGTCTCAGCTAATACTCAGTGTGCATCCTGATTGTATTCGAGGATACCTCTTCAGGCATGACTACAGCTTGGCGAACAACGAGCTTTTCGGCAAGGAGTTGGAGGATGGATACTGTTGTCTAAGTCAGCGGATCTGTGATTTTACATGCATTGCGTGGGCGTTTGTCGTACGTACGTGTTGAGCATTGGCTTCCACTCTGGGTTGTAGGATGATTAACGGCATTATGGGACACCAAAAGCTATCGTTGAGTATTGAGTAGCCGAGGGGCAGGGCGATGCTTAGAGCACGCGATAATACATCGTACTGAAGAAGTCTATAGCCCTGTGTTCGTCGTCTGTATATGTCTTTATCCTGGCCAACAAACATTCACACAGTCTGAGTTAGACAATGTCCACTCTCCGGATCGCATGTCAGCTCAACACGAGTCTCGATGACAGGACCGCACCACACGTGGAGGGTTGTCATCTGTTGCGATGGCGCGTTGCGCACTCTATCGTCCTATGGTTGTGACAGGAGCGTGATTGCGGTACCAGATCACAAATCCAAGGATGGGTGCGCATTGGAGCATTGTTCAATACTATATTACCATGCAGTGATCGCAGTGGAATCAAAGGTGAGACCCAGCCTTCTTCCACTTGGGGCTTGTGTCCTTGTCCAGCCCGGTAACAAAACCGCATACCCTTTTGACAAGATCCTGGACTACTTCTTCAGGGTCATCGTCAAGATTGTGGTGTGCCCCTGGAATCACGCCACCATCTTCGTCATCTACAACCCCGCCGCCTTCGCGAATTATCCTTGTCCAGCGCTGAAGCAATGCTGCTCTGTCGATTTTTGCAGGCACATACGGGTCTTTGGATCCTAGCAGGAAGCATACCGGCGTGCTCTTCGGGATTTTGTCAAACGTTGTCGCAAAGTGTTCGTCGGAAAGGTCGCTCGAGAAGTAGTCGTCATCTCCACCCTTTGCGAGGAGGGAGTATGCTCGGTATGCGTTGAGTGGTCCCCCCATATCCTTGAATACAGCGTTGCTCTCGGGCGACAAGATCTCCTTGGCTTTGCCCATATCGATCAACTCCTTGGATTTCCTAATCGCTTCTTCCAGCTCTTTCCTTTTCTCCCCTTCTTTATAGTAGTCCTCCCATGCCTCTCGATCGCTGACACCGCCCTGCAGTATGACCCCGTCCAATGGCTCCCTCCCCTCGTGTCCCTCCCCAAGCAGATATTCCATGATATCTTGACATCCCGTCGAGTGGCCCATGATTACAACCTTCGTCTCTGGCCGTAGCTTCCTAAAGTAGGACACGCATTCGCCGAGCTCACGCGCATCGCGAGCGAGGCTACCAGTACCCCAGCCTTTGTAGGACGAGGAGATGAGGACTTCGGATATGACCCAGTCGGATGGAAGTTTACTGGCGATGGCGGAGGGGTACGGAACGGTGAGGAGGCCATCTGTTAGGCCTCCGACCCAGAGCAAAGTGTTTGGCGCTGCGCTGGATAGTGGGCGAGGGTTGTGCTCGAATGCGATGAGGCGTTTGGAGTACTTATGAGCGATGCCGTTATATGCCATTGTTGCAATATTCAATTAGGGACGGGAAGACGAATCAGACACAAGTTCAGTCAATATTCTTTGGCAAAAGAAGCTCTTTTAGTGGGTTCAGATAATGATTTGATGAGAGTAGATATTAAGCACGAGCAAACAACAATCGCGTCGATGAAGCTCGACGCGACGTTTGGTGGGGGCGCAGATCAAAATCTAATCAGATGGCGGGGTAGCTTCTTTGCTGCCGTCTGAGCTCTCTCCAACTCCTCTCAGCTTTCACATAAATGCACTCTTCACCGCTATAACCAAGCGTTTCAAAATTAGTCTGGATACAATTAAAGGATCTAAAGACTTGTGACACTGTTCGTTTTTGTGGGTTTGCTGATTTTAATTTGATGTTGGCAGCAAGACAGAGTTTATTAGATATGCACCTATTCCAAGTTTCTCCGGGATGGGGTTTGTGATGCCAGAGCATCTAGAGCTAAGCCATATCGACTGGACTCTGTGTGAGTTCCGATTATGGTTCCCGAAGATGAGCAGGCGTCCTCGCTCGTCAGCTTGACTAGGGTACAGATGATGTCCATTGTTAGTCTAAGCTGCATCATTTACATCTTCTTTTGACGAAAACGTCTTTACAAGGACACGACCTTTGCAGCAGCAGAGAAATCTGTTTGTGCCCAAGGTTGTTAATCGGGCTACGTGCTGTGAGCGCTCCGGTCATCCGATAGCAATAGCGAAATAAGCAAGCATGTTCCCATACAACAACCTTACCTTAATCCATCTTGCACCAAGTGAAGCTTCTCGTAGTCATTGTGCGTGCTGAAGGAGCGGTTGGAAATCGAGCAGCTGTTCCGGCATCACCCAGAAGAGGAAGCCGGCACCTCTGCTGACATCTCGGGGTTCGGGGGAAGGTACGACCCCACTGGACGCAAGCTACCCCTCACAGCCATATGCGTAACCCCACTTAGAGCTCTGGGGCTCTCCAAATGCCTGGAAACAAGACGGAACACGGACGCGTTTCCGTGTGGCCACAGCAACACGGCATATGTCAAATGACATGAAGGATTGAGCGAAATGATTTACGTGTCGTCGGGTCGGGTATTGAGGGATTGATTAGCTCCTCGTCATGCTCTTCAATTTCCATCTGCCCTTTGTGCAATCTCTCCATACTTTCGGCACATTCCATTGAATTGAACATACAACAGCCACAATGTCGTGTTAGTATCATTGTCTTGCATACACACGAATTATCAGCCTAACACACGCAGCGAGACACTTCATTCACGACCCGACACACCTCGTCGAAACTGCCCTTCTCAGCATCCCACAAACAAACCCTTCGGTGCAATGCGATATAAACAACAAAATCATCTACCGTAAGAATGGCGCATCACAAGTCAGTATAGTTTCTGGAGGCGGCAGCGGTCATGAGCCCTCATTCGCGTCTTTCGTCGGTGCTGGCCTACTATCTGGAGCAGTCGCAGGCACAATCTTCGCATCTCCAAGTGCAGAGCAAGTGCGAAGATGTATCTTGCATCGCATTCAGAAAGACAAGGGTGTACTCGTGATAGTAATGAACTACACTGGCGATGTGTTGAACTTCGGCATGGCAGTCGAGAAGGCGCGCGCTGCAGGTATTGAAGTCGACATGGTGGTGGTCGGCGACGATGCAGGTGTAGGGCGCGCAAAGGGAGGAAAGGTTGGACGAAGAGGTATTGCGGGAACAGTACTTGTACAGAAGATTGCTGGTGCGCTCGCTGCGAAAGGGTGCGCAACCATACCAGTTCTATGGCTTACAGGTTGACGATCGCTAATATGACTGTAGAGCGAGTCTCAAGGATGTAACGCACATGGCACAACTCGTCGCAGACAATACCGTCTCGATTGGATCTTCCTTGGCGCATGTGCATGTTCCAGGTCGGCGAGAGGCAGAGGAAGACGAGCTTGCGGAAGGCTTAGTTGAGATTGGAATGGGCATTCACAACGAAGCTGGCTCTGAGCGCAAGTCGACCGATCTCCCTGGCCTTGTGAAGACGATGTTATCGCACTGTTTGGACGTCGCGGACCAGGATCGCAGTTTCTCTAAGATCACCGACAAGGACGATGTGGTGCTGCTAGTCAACAACCTAGGAGGTGTCAGTCCACTCGAGCTCAGTGGGATCACGAACGAAGTCGTCGACCAACTAGCGGACAACTTTAAAATCAAACCAGTGCGAATTCTGGCTGGTACCTTTATGACCAGTCTGAACGGACTGGGCTTCAGCGTCAGCTTGCTAAGAGTCGCTGACGCTTCTATGCTTGAACTGCTCGATGCACCCGCAGAGGCGAGTGGCTGGTCAGCGGCAATTAGTAGCAGCACATGGGCACGACGAGAAGAAGCGAAAAAGAGCGAGGAGCAGGTAGACGAAGAAGAGGTCCAGCCAAGTGACCTGAGGGGTAAGTACCTGCCGCGTTGCACAGGGTATGTGCTAACTTGGACAGTCAACTTTGCCCAGGCCAAATCAACATTGGCAGTCGCATTGAACAGGCTCATCGAGGCTGAACCAGATGTGACCAGATACGATACTATAGTGGGGGACGGCGATTGCGGCATCGGACTCAAGCGCGGCGCAGAAGGTAAGTTATCGTCACGTGTGCATTGTTACCTAGCGCTGACACCCAGCAGCAATTCTGAAGATGCTCGAAACGGCAGATAAGACGGATGATCTGTTGATCCTCATGAATCACATCATTCAAGTGGTGGAACTGGCTATGGACGGCACGTCAGGCGCAATCTATGCCATCTTCCTGAATGCGCTGGCCCATGGGTTGCGACAAAATGCGCCTTCGTCACCACAGCCTGTCACACCCGCAATCTGGGCCAAAGCCCTGGACTCGTCTCTTAAGGCACTTGGCAAATACACTCCTGCCAAACCAGGAGACCGAACACTGATGGATGCGCTCTATCCATTCGTTGAGACATTATCCAAGACGGAAAGTATCGAAAAAGCGGCTGCAGCGGCACAAGGTGGTGCTCAAGGGACGAAAGGTATGAAAGCGAGCTTGGGGCGAACGGTGTATGTTGGAGGCGAGGGATTCCAGGAGGTGCCAGACCCTGGCGCGCATGGCCTTGCGGAGCTTCTGTTGGGCCTGAGTGATGGATTGAAGAAGTAGAAGTTGGGTATCGTTGTTTGATTCGTTCGGTGTTCATCGCCGTTGCGACGGTTATGTAACTTTTAATTCATCCAAACTCCATTTCGCGTGCCTCGATCTGGCGCTACCGTCCCAAATGCCCACTACATCCGAGCTCTTATGATAGCAAAACAAGAATGACCGAGTCGCCTCGTAGGAACCTAGATGGATCAGCGAATGCGC